CAAATCAATTTAACGAATCAGTCATTACAAAAAATGTGTCATGAATAATGATGGAACTGATGATTTATCTTTACTCTGAGTTGCCGCAGTTCAACTTGATAATATATACCAAGATCAAAAATTTTAAACAAGTATTTATCGATTGATTTAAAGCGATTATCTTGGATATTAAGAGTATTAAAAAATCTAGTATTTGTAATCGAAATTATTATTTGGTTTAATGCTGGTATATGTTAATGCTGACGTTTCGGCAAAAACATTATTCCAACAATTATTTATGTCACCAACATATTAACTGTTTGTTTCAATTAAAATAAAATTTTCGCCATATTGCAAATATTTCTTACCTCAACAAACTAATTTCCTCGTAGTCTTTGCTATCGTGTTAAATTTAAACAAAGTTGTTGTCTCGGACTTAATAAATCAGTGTGCAAACATTGTTCCGAAGTGTGTCGCCCAATTGAAACAACCATCCTACAAGTAATTAGTTTAGTTAACGGCTGACGCAGAATGTTTTCAAATGTTAATTGAAGTTTAACGGTCAAGAATTTAGGAGTACAGATTTTTCCCTTCCTGCTGTTAGTACAGATTTTATGGCGAATGTTTGTTATTTTTTCATAAAGCAAAAGATCTTAATACTGAAAACGTTAAATTGAATTTGATGTAATCTTCGTAATCATTATGTGTACGACTACTGATGGATAAAGCGGAGGCTTTTATTGCTCACTTGATAATGCTATTACTGCATTTTGAGATTGTGTTTAATCGACATTTTTCACATAGATTTCCGACAAACGTATGACATCTCACCGAAACAATTAATGTTCAGAGCATAGATACAATTAAAGTTTTAAAAGTACATCTATATGTCATTCTCATTTACTTATTCGGATAGTATAATAACAAAATAGAAAAACAGCGTTGTAAACTAAATAGAAAACTCACTTGTAATTAGACTATCAATATCCGTTAGTGTGGTGACGACGTAATATCGTGAAACATTTATCTAAATGGAATCATACAACATTCTTTTCATTTTAAATATGTTGTAATTTGTTCATGAAAAACTGTTTTATTACTTTACAATGAAACAAAAGTGTTCTTAATATGAATATATGGAAAGTTAATGACCCACAGTGACACTTTGTTTACTGATGTTAAGATATTAATCGTGAATCATTCTCAACATAACTACAATCATATTTCCCCTATTTTTAATTTAATTTCTTCAAAATTACGTACACCGTAAAACAACAAGTTATTACTTAAAAAAAATACATACATCATAAAAAATGAGAATGTAAGCAACTGTATTCGACTTTTTTTTTACTTTTTAAGATTATAATCTTTCCAGTAACATATTTTTGTTATCCATAAACGTAAAGACTTGAGTGCATATGGTGCGGTATTGTAACACCGTCCCTTATATTATTATATTAAATTGATTCACTTGTTATTTGCGAGAACCCTAATATTAATTTTATTACACATAAAATATTTTAGTTTGTGCAAATGCAGAGAAGTTCAAACTTAGGCTACGGTATACAAACGTTTTTCCTTTTTCTTATTGTTAAATAGGATAAGTGTTAACATATTCCACGTCAGATTGTTTTGTTATTATTATTTTCTTTCCCGTTTAATTTCAAACGTAATGTGTGTGCTTTTTTTTGTGTAGATATCGTTAATTATGACGCAAAAAATGGCGACATTTTATGTGGTGATGTCTCAACGAAATATCGGTATAAATGACTCAGAATAGTGACTTAAAGTTTAAATAAATGTATTATTAATTTATTTTAAATTAACGTTTTTAGCGTAAAGATAGAAAGTCATAAACGCTGTCTGGATTATGCCCTATAAGGTAGATAAATTACTTCTTCTCATAAACGAGTTTTTAAATGTTTGTGTTTTCTGAGAAAAATATAACTAATAAAGTTCACTTGATTTACGGTTCAATTGATTTTTGAAAAGCGTATACGAAGAAGGACGATTCAGTATGTAACAGTCTTAAGTTACGTTCATATTTAAAATTTTCTTTTTCACAGAAAATACAAGTTTTAAATTTCGGTAGAAAATAAAATCAATGAAATCTATATTAACTGTAGAAAATGTTTTCATATTTTCCAAGTGACACTTAAACACATCAAATGCTAGAGTGGAAATAAAATACGAGACCAATTACAGAACAAGCCATTTCAGTCGTGCCGCTTAGGTTATTATTGGTTAAATTGACTATTATGTCTGATTCATCATCAAAATTGTCAGTCGTTAAATAAAAACTTATAAATGGAAAATGTTTTATTATTTTTAAAATTCACTTCCACCATACAAAGTACTAATTTTCAGAATGTTTTTACGTTATTAATAGTTAAATATATTGTCACACAACGTCATACAAAGGCCAGATTCACAGCAGAAACGTTCATTTATGTGATTGTGCAACTTGACAGTTATTTGGTTGTAAAGGGGCGAAAACGAAGATGTACTCCTAAACTCTTCCTGTAATGTAGCACAAATTATAAAATTAATTGTTATAATTTCAAAGATCGATAAAATAATTCGGTTCATACTTAACTTTTTTCAGGATTACCGCTATACCTAGAGTTAAAAATAGGTGTGAGTTTTTAAACTAAAGTCGGAAACGGGAAACCTGTGTTTGGTATTCTACGAGTTATAAAACGCCAAGAAAACATTATACAAATATTGAAATAGTACCATTTCAATATTTGCTTGGAAAATCAGAAATGGAATAAACAAAGATTCCCACGTCAGTTCCTTTCTAAAATTAAAAGAATTAAAACGTTTAGAAGAGTTGTGTAGAATTTCATGATACTGTTTTAAATATTATGTCAAACCATATATAAAAAATTACTTAAATATATAGCTAATGTAATATAAATGCTTCTGCTGTCCAGGGCATACGGAAAATTTTGTAAAAAGGTACTACTAAAGTAATTGATGGAACTAACTTATCAATAAAATTCTTGAACAAATATGGGCCGTAAAGAAATTATTGCGTGACGTCACGGGACGTTATTGTCGCATTTACTATTTCATTACGAAGCGTCGTGTACAGGTGCAGGTTTCTTGCAAATTGCACACTGTCTTCATCTACTGTATGCAAGTAAGAGAGAAAACGACATTTGGAATTTTCGCGCTTCTACGAATAAACACTACACATATATTTTGAAACATGTTTTAAAATACTACGAAGGTATGCGCATTTATCAACTTCAAATGCCTAGAACTTGTATCGCTGAACTCACAATACTCTTTTGGAGTTATCACAAATAAAACTTAAACGTTTGCGTGAAACGTTGCACTAGGAATATTGTTAGGAATCACGTGACACAGTGATTTAAGATTGCAGCTTTTGGTAGAATGTGGCACATTTTCCTAAACTGTATATTTTACAAAGAAAATAAAATTCCTGGACTAGAGTAAAGTATGCTGAAGTTTAAAGAGCAAAGTCTTTGATAATCTTGTTACCACGTTTTGCACACTCGAATTTAAATAATCAGGTGCACTAGGAAAAAAAAACAACAGATATATCGGATGCTGTTGCTGATTTGTTGCGTCATTCATGTAATTAAAGAGGTAACTTCTTCGTTTTAAAATCATTTGACTTTGTAATTACTAGAGTTAAATTGTGCAACAGATGTATTCTTCCATTAATACAAATTGTTACGTTGGGTTGCATAAGTCGAACTCGTTTTGTAGTGCTCCAAATGGATCTATGTACATAAAGTTTTATCAAGAATATCAAGCATAGATAATGAAACTGTAATTGTTAAACAATGGTTAAAGTTTTGACCTCGACAAGGACATTGTGGGAGCTCACGTGCTGTGTATTCAATTCATCTTTCTAAGGAATGATGATTATATTTGTTATGTGAGACTCATCATTTCATACATTAAGTTCCACCCGCACAAATTAAAATGTTATTTATATTTTAATCACGTAATGATCTAAGGAACGTTGTATTTAATTGTTTTTTTTTTTTTCAATGCTGAAAGGACTTCACAACAGGGCGTGTAAATATCTTGCTTTAGTAATATTTAAAATTTCGGTTACGTAAAAAATCCAACGAAGTGTACGCGACACACGTTTTTATCTTTATATTTGTCAATGAGTCGTTATCTTTAATAGTCAATCAATAAAAACTTACATTTAATTACGTGGAAATTCGGTGTCTAAGGATTATGAGTTCTGACGAAAAAAGCAAAAAAAAATCTTAATTATAACTCTCATCTTTGAAATACTGTCATTTAGTATTTCTCACTTGTAAATGTGCAACCTTCAGATTTTGTTAGTAAAACAGATAATTACTAATTGCACGTACATTTTTAAAATTCAGTTAGAATGAACATTTGCTTTTTAATATGTGTACTTAATAAGGACTATCATGTAGGCACCAGTAGTTGGTAATTACATTATGATCTCATATAATACGTCATAAAGAATATCGCCAAACAATCGAACATAACCTTGGCGAGCATCTGATCTTACAGAAGTAGATGCTTGCATATGTTGATTATCGTGTAACTGCTTTCGTGTCGGGTAAATCATTTTGTGTCATCGCTTCCGCGAATAGTGAACGTATATTTAATTGAGTTACAGTGTTTTCTGGGTGTAGGTATTGAGTACAGTTCCCGTTTATTAAACAACGTTGATTAATTTTGAACGTGCCAGATCCTTTATTTGGATTTTCTTATAATAAAGAAAAAACACGAGGGACAGTCAGAAAATATTAATCATACCTATTAATATATAATAATGCATTTACCTGTTTTCATTAAATGATTACGGCTGAGTTGACTTTATCAGGCAAATAGATATATTAAATAGTGATAAGACTGATAAAAAGAATTGCCATACTGATTGTGGTGTCCCCTTTATGTTATTTGTGTATATGTGGAACAGAGCTTGTGCTTTTTGTAATGCGGGCGTGTTCATTTTATTAGTAATAATACATAAAATATTTACTCTTTTCATGCAGAGTTAAATAATGAGTGACATCAGCCAGTGTGATAAGATTGATGAAGATAAAACAAGTAAGAAAGTAAGACATTCCTGGAGTTTTAATAATTTCGACTTTGGAATACAGCTACTGAAAGATAGAAGGCAGAAAATATCACACGGTGGTAAATATTCCGACCGATATAAAGAAACTTTTGCTCATAACGAATCAGAAGATAAAAGTTTAAGTGTTTACGAACGTTTGCGTAAAACGTCGGCTCCCGATAGACCGGAAAACATGGAGAAAAACCACACTGCGCTCGATAAATTTAAATTTACGGCAAAAAGTAAAAGCAATGCTACTAACGATTTAAATAAAGCTCACAATACGTTGACTGGCTACAAGCAAGTCGGCGATGGGAAAACCCACAAGCCTTTACAAGTGAGTCCTGGTGGCCTCTTGAAAAAGAAGGATAAGCACGTCTATCACGTCACAGCTCCCGAGAAATCTGGCACCCCCTCACCTCAATCGCAGAAGAAATCTGTGGCACTTCAACAAATTTTGGGAGCAACAAACGATCATAAATCCGAAATGTCTCCCCCTCTACCTAACAGAAAACACATCCCTGTAAACTTAATTCTAAAGGAACCCACTGACGGGGACTCTACTATGGGACATCTCCAGCCAGTTGAAATGATTATAAGTAAACTGAATAAAAAGGAGAAGGAAATTGAAAATTTGAAAAAATTTGAAGATCTGGTCAAAAAAGCGCATGGACCTCCAGCAAAGGTTAATCCCACTGTGGTAGAGAAATCTCATGATTATCTTAAGTCACAGGAGCACATCTTGAATCCAATCAAACACTGTAACGAGGTCGAAGATTTGCAACAAAAAGATTTAAGATTTATAGAGGAAGTAGATGGATCCCAATTTCAGAGAAATACGAAAGGACGCAAAAGCTTGACTGTAGAAAATGACAACAAAAACAAAAAAAACGTGCCCCTGGATCGAACGGCGTCGGATGCGCAAGACAGAGAAATCAAACTTAAACCTCGCATTACTAAAACAGTAAATCGTAATGTTGCAAAGGTATTTTTTTTTTATATTCATATTTATCGAAATGTCTACGTTATATCAAAATACAGTAATTTTATATGATGCAAAGATTAATCATTTTGAGCCGACGAGGTATATTCGTTATGATTTTATTTGGGTAAACAAGTATATCATTTTATTTCTTAATGGCTCTCATTGCGCGTCAGTACCAATCACTACCTGAGATGGTGATTGAATAGTGAGTTATCTTATCATGTTATCGATAACATCGAAAGTAACATATGCCGAAATCACTTTAACAATGTAATTCCTTTAAAATAATGTTAAATATTTCTTATATCCATGACAAAATATATGATCTTTTCGTAGGGATAATTTCATTTTTTTACTTTTTTTATAGCTTGTGTTTTAATGTATTTTACAGTTTTCTTTTTTGTATATTTTATTCTGTAATATGTAATTTCAGAGCAATGACAGTTCGGTGGAATCAACACGAAGCGGTACAGCGTCAACACGAAATAGACCGAGGGTAGGAGAGGAACCAACAATAGGAAAATACAAATTACTTAAAACTATCGGCAAAGGCAATTTTGCCAAAGTCAAACTAGCAAAACATGTCCCCACTGGAAAAGAAGTGGCCATCAAGATCATCGATAAAACGCAACTTAATCCTAGCTCACTGCAGAAATTATTTAGAGAAGTAAGTTTTGCTTAAACCCAATTTTTTTGTTGTTGTTTAAATGGGATGATGAAATATGATACAAACAAATAAAACCGAAAATGCTGTTGCATTACAGTTTTCGTTAAAGTATGCTAACCTTGTAAAATATACTGTGATTAATAAAAACTTTCCAGTTGGTACGTGATCATTAGCAAGATCAATCAAACTGTAGAGCATTATTTATTACATCAAGGGAACAGCTTATTTGAAAAATATAAACCAAATAAATGCTAATAAGGTTTAAATAGTTTTGTCAACATAAAGGACACAACACTTTGACAATGTTACACTAAATAAAATCGTTACGTAAGATATTTACTCACACTTGAAAGTCGATTTTGTTTTATATGTAGATTAAGAGAACTAATATTAGAATCAGTATTTCGTTAATTATCCCTTCATAATATTTTTTATTATTTTTTTTTAATTAAAATTGTTAATCATTCCTACAACTATATATTTTCCAGGTAAGGATAATGAAAATGTTAGACCATCCGAATATCGTAAAATTATTTCAAGTCATTGAGACTGAAAAAACGTTGTACCTGGTAATGGAATATGCCTCTGGAGGCGAAGTATTTGATTATTTAGTTCTACATGGAAGGATGAAGGAAAAAGAAGCTCGATCCAAATTTAGGCAAATTGTATCAGCGGTGCAGTACTGTCATCAAAAAAGAATAATTCATAGGTAGCTATTGTGACGTTGCTGTGAAAACTACATTTAACTGTTTGAAATTTTAGAGATTTAAAGGCTGAAAACTTACTGTTGGATAGTGAAATGAACATTAAAATTGCAGACTTTGGATTCTCAAATGAATTCACGCCTGGAAACAAATTGGATACTTTCTGTGGAAGTCCACCCTATGCAGCACCAGAACTTTTCCAGGTATGACATGATAATTACAATTTTTGAGTAATTAAAAATAAATTTTTGCAACTAGGGGAAAAAATATGATGGACCTGAAGTTGATGTCTGGTCCCTTGGAGTGATATTATATACCTTAGTCTCAGGAAGCTTACCGTTTGATGGTTCTACCTTGAGGGAGTTACGAGAAAGAGTGTTGCGAGGAAAGTATCGCATACCTTTTTATATGAGCACAGATTGTGAAAATTTGTTAAAAAAATTCCTGGTTTTGAACCCCGCCAAGAGAGCCAATCTTGAAACTATAATGAAGGATAAATGGATGAACCAGGGGTACGTGGGGTTAGTTAAACTTCAATAGGTGTTGTTTATCAATGTTAGAAAAACTTAGGCACACTTAGTTACACATTATGCTTGAAAGTCCTTGTGAAAAATTGTTGTTGCAAGTCAAGCTATCGTTTATACAACAGTAAAAGAAACTTCAGTTTATTGAAGATATGTTCTCTGCATGTACTTCAATACTCCGTTGTTATATATGCCTTAAAATAGCTTCCAGTGGTGCCAACTTTATTAGTTAACTGTCATAGTATTGTAAATATATAGCACAGTGATGTTGTCAAGAGACTTATTTCATCAGAAGCATCAATTTGAGTTGTTTGCTTATAATGTCAACTTTGTTTTAGTTACGAAAACGACGAATTGAAACCTTATGTAGAACCTGAAGCAGATATGAGCGATCCAAAGCGAATCGAAGCTCTAGTCTGTTTGGGTTTCAACAGATATGATGTTGAAAATTCCTTGGATTCCCAAAAATATGATGACGCGTATGCAACGTATTTACTACTAGGAAGAAAAAGTACCGACGTATGTAGTATAGGAAATGTAACGGCTTTGTTAATAGTTGTTTCCAATTATTTACAGCCTGAAAGTGATGGAAGCCGGAGTGGAAGTAGTTTGTCTCTTAGAAACATGGCAGGTCAACCGCCCGTTGGCGCTCCGCAACCAACAGCACAGAGTCCTTCACATCGGGGTGTTCATCGTTCGATATCGGCAACGCACGCCAAGCCTAATCGAAGGGCCTCAAGCGGAGGTAAGTTGTTTGGAATAATGCTTTATTGTTTTTACTGATTCGTCCTTTTTCATATATAGGAGGCACGATAGGTTAGTAAATTTCGCTATATGTTGCTGAATGTTATTTTTCTTACGATTTTTTTTTTGCTTTTTAGGTGAGACGTTGAGAACAGGACCACAACCGCAAGTACCTGCAACACAAACCAATAATCACCAATCAGGTTTTAAAAGACAAAATACAGTGGATAGTGCTACAATTAAAGAAAATAGTGCTAGACATACTACTAGACCTGCCAGTGCTCAAGCGAAAACTGTCACCGAAAATAGTAAGTCACTTCAACATATAGTGCTGTATAAATGTGATTTTAAAGTCCATGTGTTCCAACAAATTGTACTAGTTTGCTTTTATTTCTCCTGATTTTCCCTTAGTGTAGCTATAACCTACCGTTTTTGTTTTTTTTAAATTAGGTATACAACCTCCAAGTAAAGCTCGAACTGTATCTAAGAACACCCCGTTATCTTTAGGAACCACAGTTGGTCGTCGATCTACAATTGGTTCCGATGGTAAATCCGAAAGTACAGAAAAAACTAATCTAGCCGCCGAAGTAGTGAGGTAAGTCAGTAACAGATAAAATAAATAAACAACCACAAGTTTTGAGTTACATCTAGCATGTTTAGCATATTTAAAGTAGTTAATTAACTTACATTACGTTCCAAAATTGTGCAATGTTCCATTATTTGTCAAATGTAGTGGTAATGAATCGACCGTCATTTAAAGTTATCTAATTCTTCTATATTTATTTGTTTCTACAATGAAAATGACCTTTAACTTGTTCATCGTGAGCAACATTACAAATTTAAATAGTAATTGGAAATTAAAACGTGCTGTTTTAAGTTAGTAAAATTAAAATTGAAAGTTTAATTAACAGTTATTTCTGTTCAGAAAACGTTCGCCCTTTTTACGTCATATTGTGACGGATTAATTTAACCATTAACGATGTGAATTAGAAAAAACGGAACGACATCTTATAATTGTGTATGATTATTGAGCCATTAAAACCTGATTGGTAGCTTAATGTTCATATTTTATTATCTGTATCCAATGGACAATTGTGCACATAAAAACAATTATGTTCTAGAGAATTTTTTAAATTTTAATTCGCATTGACGCACACGCATTCGAATGACTTGATATTGAACAAAAAACTGGCGTTTCTCTAAAAAAAATCTGTTGGATAATTATCAGGAGGGCACTCACTTAAACTTAATATTTTTCTGTGTACCTCGTTTAATTATTTATAATATTAAGAAATATGGTAGAAAATAATGAAGTGAGTGGAATTAGGGCCGAATTCTGTAAAGTATAAAGGCACTTTGGTAAAAGGATTGTCCTTTATATAAAGATAGGACCCTTATAGATCCGTTGCATAAAGGTGAAGTCCTTTATAGTTTCCCTTGTGCAACGTATGGTCATATGTGTCACTTTATGCAAATTATCTGTCAGTTTCATTAGCTTTATGTGGTGACCGTTTCTAAATAAAAGGGAAGAAATGGAGAATCTATGATTATTTATCCTAGAGGAATTACAATAAAGGTATATATGAATCAGAACAATGATGTCTCCTTCCAGTTTTATAATTTCATGGTCTACATTTGTTAAGATTAGCAAAAACCACTAAAAATCGTCATATTAAAGTTAATTAAGCCCAATTTGGTGGAAATACAAATACTTTTACGATGCTCCAAATAGACTGGTAACTCTAATAAACAACTTTGCAAAAACAATTCCTTTGGAGGAGTCTTTACTTATAAAAAAGACCAAAAAATCCATTAAAGGCCAGACTCCCCTGACCAGTTGCCACTCCAGTGTGTTGGTACATAAGGGGCCAGTGCTGATATCTCCAAAAATGTACATGATTTCATAAAGTGTTTATTATTTTTTTTTAAGTTTTTAATGTGTTACCATCATCACGAACCAACATACGAGCAAATAAATAATACTTTTACTATATGTCAAGCACAAAGACCACGACAAGAATTTCATATCTCATAAATTAACAAAATTTAAGTTTAAAAATATCACAGTAGCCGATATTATGAAAATTTGATTCCGTCTCTCTTGACACAATGATAAACGCAAGCGTTCCTTTTCTAAAAGCGTATACTATCGTAGTAAAAACATCCGTTCGTTCCTTTACATAAAGTCGAACTGACGCACAAGGATTCACTTTCACATTTCCTTTACGATAAAGCCTTTAACAAACGGATCCCTTATTAAAAGGTTAAGTTACAGAATTCGGGCCTTAGACATATCATTTGTTGAAAAATAGTTAACAAAACTATGGGTCCCCTAGATACAACATAATATCGGCTCTACATTGTAACTATCGTTCGAACTTCAACAGATAAGTAGAATTTTGCATGTGTCATCTTGCAGATTATTTTAATTTCTTTTAATTGATTTATTACAATTTGTCAAAGAAATGTTAATAATTGCCTTTTAAAAATTAATGAAATTTAAAATATTTGTTTTTTCGAGAAAATAGCTTACCAACTTAAAAGAAATAAAATAAACTGTGCCATAGCATAGGGTAAAACAGTAAATTGATATTCAACAGAGTTAGTTTTTAGTTTTTGTAAAAAGGTAACAACACTCATAGAATTTTAAAAAATGCTCTAGAAAGTAACTGGCGCGTTTGTTATTCGGCGTAAATTAAATGTAGAAAAAAAAAAACTTAACCATGGGCGTGTTGTGTTGTTTTTCTTTTAGTTATTGCCAGATTAACCAGCATGTTCATGCTTGTGCACTATAAATTTCTACTGTAAATTATGATTATATAAATTGCAAATTGAAATTCGATTTGTAAAAAATGACCATCGAGATAGTAGATTTTATTATTTTCTTTTCAAATTTAATGCATGTGCTTAGATTTCTCAACAGTTTCTAAGTTGCTGTTTATGTAGATATGTAAATCACTGACATAATGATATCTTTATATTTGTTTACTAACCGCATGTGCAGTTCTGGTGAGAGCGGAGGCACAGGAGATTCATTACGGCCTGCGAAAGGTCATGTTAAATCTGCTTCAGTCAGTAGTAGTGGGCCAGAACCTGCTTCTGATCCGCTACGCACTAGGTATGTTTTAAAAACTCAATAAATCCATTTTTCCGAACATCACGCATTTGATTTTGTTTGTACACGTGAATGTGAATTTTGCTGGGTTGAAATGGTTTGGGCTTGTTTTTTTATTTTTAAGGTTTTGATAACCAGAATTAAACTTCTAAATCTTCCAGTTTATAAATTAGCAATGAATTGTTGAAAATGCTAATTTTATAATCGGATTTTTTTTCCAAATTTGTTCCGCTAAAGATTTTTTAACTCGAAAGGCTAGACAACTCAATGAAAAGCTGTAGACTGCAGTTAGACGTCTTTTGATCTCAGTGGTTCAGTGGTTGTCTAGCATTTGAGGGTATTTGCCTTATATGCATTATATGGAGGTTTTCCGTAAGAAAGGGGTGATGCCAGTGATGGTAAGGTGTAATCCGACGTCCGGCGGGGCTTTTGTCCGGGAGGTAGCTCTGTCCGTCCACTGGTTGGTTCAGTTATAAGTGACGTCTTATACCTCACTAATCCAAATTTATCAATAGTTTTTCCGAAAATAAGACACTAATATTCAATTAGTTTACATCTTCAACATTTAAATAACTTTTTTAATCACAGCAGAAGTCATGAGACGCTTCACATTTTTGAACCAACTCTGGGTAACTCCAGTGTAATTTAACTTTGAAATTTTTCATTTGTTTTTAATAGTAATCTGATGTGGAGTTAAAAGTTTTTTACTCCAATCACCTATAAGGTTAAGTGGAAAGCAACTATTATGACGTCACTGCCTAGTCGTCCTCGTTCACTGATTTAAGTTTTTTTGATTGTGTTATGTTCCACGAGGCTATTTTAGATTGATACGAATTATTAAATAGCTTTTATAGATCGTTATAGGTAAAATAAAATGTAAACTACCAGTGACGACATAACTAGTTCCAAATTTTGAAAAATTATTTGCAAAGTATTTTCGAATGTTGTATGTATGGGTCTTTTTTTAACGCTACACAAAACTAATATAACATTACTCGCAACTAATTTTCATATATGAAAACTTACCCGTAACTTTACTGTGAACGTATAACTGCTGAACGCATATTTGTCACATTCGTTTAACGTAAATTAAACATTAACAAAATCATTGAAGATGTACTGGCTCATCATGCGAAACTGTGAACGCGCATTAACCAGATAGATACCTGTCGGCCAAATGTAATTTGTAGTGAAACGTAAACTTTACTTTATACGAATGGGAGAGTAAGTCTTCATTGATACGTTGATTATTGTTGCTTAAGTTGATCCATCAAATTTCGCTTAAAAGGGTATGATGAAGTGTTTGAAAAAACGTATTTGTGGTGTGCTAATAATGATAAAACTATTACAACGTTACAGTCGCACAAGTGCATCACCGGCAACGACAAGGCAGCCCGCATTCCCTAGAAATACGTCGTCAAGAAGTACGTTCCATTCGGGACAAACCCGGCCGAGAGCTACTTATGCGCAAGCATCACCTGGAGACTCTCCGCATACGAGACCGTCGTTCTTTGCAAAGTTTAGTCTTCGGGGCTTCACAAAAAGGTTAGTATCAAATTCTGACAGTAGCAAACTTGTAAATAAAGTAAGACAATATTCACATATGAAACCAAAGCGACATGTTTCAAGAACGTTTTACATTATCTACAGGTTAATTCTTTTTATAACAAACTTTTCCTGCTTACATCAATGCTTTTTTGTTTGCTTTTTCATTGTATAGGTTTTGTTTACTGTATCATTTTCACGTTTCACTGTTTTCCATTCAAACTGTACCATAATATTCTAATCTGAATATGTTTTGGCTTAATTTTATACTACGATGACTAATAAAAGCAAACCATAATAATTAAACCACCACTTTACTTATTTTCTAATCTGCACCTCCTTATCTAACTCCTTTGTGCAATGTAACTAAAATTTAAGCATATATGGTTTTAAAACTGTGGAATTGTGGTTGTTACAGTGTTACATCAGTTTAATTTCTCATTTTATCACTCATTCATACCAACACGAATTGTTATATATTACTCACACTTTAACCAGTACTCATAAAAACGAACAATTGTATAAAATTGTATAAAATTATAAATTACGATAATTCACTGTTGTTTTTGATGTTATGGTTGTTGGGCTGTAATTAAAAATCAACTGGTGATGTGTTGTACAAAACTTTTTTTTGAACGCAACCACACGTTTCGATGTCGTTGTCATTGTGGTGGAAAGGTCAACAACGGGAAAAGATGTGAAAAAGTCGATGTGCAGTTTGTTCAAATGTTTTTAAATGCGGAAATTGTAAATATTGTGTGTATTGTTGATGTAACGCTTGTAATAACTGTTTGGGATTTGTGTGTGCGAGTGGTTCGTCCCCTACCGGCCATATCATGATGATCAAGATTATTTCTGGTTCAGGAATTAAGGGCATTGAGGGACGCACCACCGCATGCCCGATGTCCTACACAACGTCTCTGCCGCCGCAATTGGAACGGACACCACACATCGCCTCATACCTCGTACGTTAGTTGATACTCGTGAACAAAAGTGAAGATATGAGTTGTGGACGCTGAATGCTGCGATAGTGTTTCAGTTCATTTTTATATATTTAATACTTTATGATTGTTAAATGGTTATAGTCAAATTTATTTATTTCCTTTTCTCGTTTTCATACTTCAAGTTGTAGCTATAATATGTGATCCTTTTTGTTAGTTTTTAAAGACTTGATGTAATGTTCATTTTATGAACATTACACCGTGCATTGTTGCATGAAAATATTTAGTTGAGAACAAATTCAGTTTTTTAAAAGTTCATTTTTAATGTTCACAGATAAGAACATACATGGTTGCTATGTAATAATTTTGTCAAAAATTAAATCATAGTTTTGATTCGTTATGTTTATTATCTTTTTATCAGATGCATTGTTAACTGATAATTTAAGATAATTATATTTTTAATTATTTACTCAGACAAGTATCATTTTTATAGCCAAAGTATTCTACTTTATTTTAAAATTTAGAAGTTACATGTAAGTTTCTTATTGCAAAACAATAATAACGTTGAAATAAATATAATTTTGGTTGTTTTTAATTATAGTCCCAACAATCGGTGTTCTGTTGATGGTTTCACGAGAGTTCGTGCAGTTGATCTCACTGTTTTGTCACGTTGTTAGCGTTGCTTACTCGAAATCAGTGCATACAGGAATTAACCAACACGTGTATAAAAACGACAACAATTTAACAATTTTAGGTGTACTGAGATTCAAATAATGATATTATTTTTATAATACATTTTATGAATTTCTTCATTTGAAATTGCGTTTACTTGGAAGTCCAAAATTGTATATTTGCCATGTTACGTAATAAATGTTTTCACACGTCCCTACATCCTTACAGCAAAAGGACACTATTGCATTTTCTAAGCGCTTCACCCTGTTTTCCAAAAGTTTATATTCATTACTAATATACTTCATCTTTGTGTTTCTTATCATTTTGATTTTGTTATTTTCAGAGCATTAGATCCCACCCAACATGTTAAATATAGCAACTCACCATTACCTACCGTAGGGTAAGTTGACCAAAGAAGGATAAAATCAAATAGAAGAACACAGATAATAAATATAGTTAATAGAATAATTAAATATACAAAAAGCCTATTCAATTAATATCCAAGCTGTCTGCGATTTTATATTTTAATAATGTTTTTTTTTTTATGATTTATATGTTAGTTTTTGCTTTTATTACTATTATATTACCTTTAATTATCTTCATACCTATCCTTATAAAAATTAAACTGTATGTTCCCACAAGGTCGTCTTAGTTTAAGCCTTACCAACGTAGGAGTCGTGATTGGTTAATACTTGCTTATTTGGGGCAGATTCGTTAAATATGGTTAAATATAGTTAAAGGCATATCTAAATATTTATAATTTCGTTAAACGTTAAACTGCATATTATGAACTGTTTTGTGCAGTTTAACTCTTAATATTGATTTTTACCAAATTTTGAGCACGCAGTACATATAATGTCAAAACTACGCTTGGAATAAATTTAAAATACTGGGACAAATCAGTTGGTTATCTTAGTTATCCTATTTTCGGTGTTCATTATTTTTTGCGACGTCGTTAATTTTAAACCGTGATTTCTAATGCAATTTTTAAATGAAATGCTATAAATTTTATTTTTCTAGAAAACTCGTACTTATCTATAATAGATTATTTCAGTTGTAAGTTGCAGCGGATAAAACCCCATTAAGAATGTTTTTATCGGAGAGACTTTGAGGCGGCGTTGTCAATTGTTCCACTTTTTTTTTTAAGTCTGCATATAAATCTTATGCAGTTTGCAGTATTTGTTATTCTGCTGCTATTAATGTTCAATTTAAACTTTTATGTATTAAAATTTCACTGTGAATTGCATTTTTTTTTTTTAATTTTCGTATTTCTCAATGATATTACAATCAGTGACAAGTTTTTTCTTCTACTTTCGAATTTTTGAAATCCGGTGTTGTTTCAACAACAAACTGCGATTTACAACCAAATTTTAATAAATCCAAATCTAATCTTAGCAGGAATAAATGACGTTAACTTGCAAGAAATTTTTCATAACTAAAGTGGTCGCCACGAATTCTCTAATGTAGAATGCATTGTTTATGCATTTCATACACCGCCAACGGTGAAACGTACAGCAATTTCTTAGATATTTATTACACTGTTAATACAAAGAACAATAGTTATTAGCTTCGAACCTTAAAACTTGTTATTGTAAATTATCTGTTTAGATTTTAAACGAAATTCAAATGATTTATTGTATTTTGATGGTTCTAGGTTGTGTCAAAGTTCTTTTTTTGTATCATGTAACAAAAACGAATTTTTTGTTTGCGTAAAAGTGAGGTTATCCAAAGAACAGTTAAATAGGAAAAGATTTAGTGGGACTTTCTTAGAAACAGTTTGTCAACACCATGTATAAAATTTATTGTTTTCACAGCAAAAGAAACATTAAATTGAATAATAAACTAAAATATGAAAGGGTAAAAATAAGCGAGATCGGTCGGAGATACACGTTTGAAGCTTCAGTTTCCACTAGTTAATTGCTATACTAACGACAGGGGGATCTTTTAAACTTGTAAATTAGTGATTAATATAGGTTTACGTAAATATCGGATGTATAGAATTTCTGAAAGTTCCTTAAAAAGTTAATGAATACATATATAGATAAATATTTTACATATCCAGTATGTTTGCTTCCAAAAAAATTATAAATCTATAGAACAAAGTAGGGTTATCACTTGACGTATTCCAAACACGTGTAAGGTGGTATTTAATTATATTATTTATTAATAAAACTTATTGGCAGAATGTTAATTTATACTTTACAAAGAAGCTATTTATGGAACAGGAATGTTTGTTTTTATCTAAGATGAACAACAGTTCATGTAACAAACATACGTGTACCTCGTGTAAGTCTAAAAGCTTTTGAGAGTAATTTTACTGGTTTCTTAACGTCATAAATATAGTATGGAAAAACTAATTTACAGTGACCTTGTCCTTGTTAATGTTTGTGACTTGCAGTAAAGTGAAAGCACTAATATACATAAAGCACTGTTTCGCATAATTTCCACAAGGCGTACATTTTACATTTACTTTTCCTACTTTGTATGATTAGTTATTATTAGACAAAATTCAATCGATATGCTTCTTCTCACTCGATTGTCTCAGTGACTTTCACATTTTTCATTTACAAAATGTAATTAACAAGCGATTTTGTATGAAAATAACGTTGAACTCGTAGTAAATATAATTCAAGCGGGTTAATTTTCCACCATGTTTTCCACTTTACAAATGGCAAGGGTAACTGAACGTTATTTCCAACACTGGGTTGTGCTGTGTTATTTAGCAAACAACGAGTAAAATCATGAAGTGTGAATGTGAAATATTATTCATGTCTCATGAATATGAGCTGATTGGGAATATATGCATTCATTGAAATTTTTTTTTATCTGTCCAGATTGATTTACACTTATGACACACTCGATATAATCTGAGAAGTGAGTTGCTAAAATGTTAGTCTCTTTTAGATGCGTCTGTTGAATCTCTTATTAAAATCATCGAAACAATATTTCCAAATGCATATTTTCTAATAAAACAGATTTATAGTAACACATGAATGCTAAATGTACAAAATTGAGAAATAACTGTCACAAAATAATCCATTTTTCTTTAATCCCTCTAGACTTTAAGTAGAAAAACAAATTGAACATTTTCAATTTTTATTAGTTGTTACAGATTTTTTTTTACCATCGTCTGATGCAACTTTGTACGTCAAAATGCGCTATCATTAATTTAATTATTAATATTGCTGCAATGTGTACTAAACATATAAGCCATTGTCTGGGCCTCTTAATGTGTCTGCCGTTACTAAACTTCGCAAGCAATAAACGCTTCACCATACTAAGTTGTGTTTTGAACTTTCTTTCTCAGTGACACCAATTTGATATCATTTAAAGACGAAATATTTCCATAGATGCGGCTAGTTTCTCTTCTAATACGGATTGTACTTTCTGCTGAAAAGTGAAACATTTTGACAGGAAAGTGAGAATGTTATCATTGTAAGCAGCAGAAATACCATGTCGGATTATTTGTCATTCAACTTTTCTCGTGGAACGGAATTGAAACCTTGAAAGTATCGTGTGTACATTAAACTTCTCATTACTTCTGGACGAACGGTGCTTGACAGTATGTTCTCAGGGGAAAACATTAGAGATATATGTAAAGTATATGACAAGATGGCGATATTGTTTACGTGTTATGATCACTTTTTGAGATGCATCAAAGAAAAAACATCAAATTTTAAGTCGTCCACTGTTCTTGTAATTTTGATGTAACTTCATAGTTCCAATTCCTTGATTAATTAAGTATTGAGCTCCCTTGAGTTAATTAATAATTTGGTCCGTATTCCATGCAGAACCACAAGAACTGCCAGGGATGCTACACATGGGTAATAGTATTTTATATCTTCTCTTCGCTGTTTTTTTGACGGCAGCAATCGAAACAAGCGAATATGAATTCTACCGTTGTTGTAGCAGAATTGGTTTCTTGCACCGTGTGAACGATCACGTGATAATCGCTGTGATTTCTAGGGCCGGCGGAGCACAAAACGATGACCAGGTAAAACCGCGATCTCTCCGATTTACGTGGTCAATGAAGACAACATCAAGCAGAGATCCTGCAGAAATAATGGCCGAAATCAGGAAAGTTTTGGACGCCAACAACTGCGATTACGAACAACGGGAAAGATTCCTCCTCCTCTGTGTCCACGGAGATCCGAACACGGATAGTTTAGTACAGTGGGAGATCGAAGTGTGTAAATTACCCAGACTATCCTTGAATGGAGTAAGATTTAAAAGGATTTCAGGTTTGTCGATGTCGTTGTGTAGGTTTTGTTTAGTAAAATTTCAATTTGGCGCAGGTACGAGCATCGGATTTAAAAATATTGCAAGCAAGATAGCGAACGAATTGAAACTGTGACTGCTTGTCAAGGAACCGGAGGAGTTTAATGAACCATCGTAAAATGAACAGTGTAGTGATTTCACACTCGATTTACTTTTTATTTTGCGAGTATTATGGTATCGTTGTGTAAGTTGCATTGACACGTACATTAACACTTCTACTAGACCGAAACCATGTACATGTTGGCTTTCCGCTACGTCACTTAAAACAATTATTTGGATATGGATTTTTTAAAAACGACTCCAACGTTTATGAGCTATGTTATATTATTAAGCTTGTGATACCCGGAATTGAAGCTGAAGAGTACGAAATCTCTACACGTTTGTAACCAAACACTCTGAGATCTCTTGTTGTTTTCTTAGAAGATATATAGACATTAAATGATACGCAGCCCGTTATATAATGACGCTATTAAATGGTACTTGTGAAGTATTTTAACGACAAAACGTTTTGGAATAATCGGTGATTTCTTCAGTTTTTCTACGTTATTACGAACCACACCACATATTTTGTTATGTAAGAAATAAGTGCATATATTTTTTATGCGGTTTATTTAGTAACAATATTATCCATTTAAAAGTTAGGAAAGTTGTAAACAATTGCAATACAATAGTAAGTTTTGAACCTGTTGTTCGAATAAATGTCAATTCTCCGATTCTCGATCCTCGTTTGAGGAACTGTGACTTTACATCATGATCATAACTAAAAATTGTAATCAACTGACTCATTTTTTAGTCGTTTGTCTATAATTTTTATGTGATATGTATTTAATTTATATTAAAATCACGAAGTCACTATAAAGGACTTTTATAGTGCATTAGCACTAAGTGTTTTCGATTTGTAAATATTGTATGAAAGTTGGGTATGTATGTGATTGCTAAAAAATAATTTTTAATATTCGGAGCCCATTTTTGCATTCTCCAGGTGCGCGATTTTAAATAAATTGAGAGGTTTTTTTAGTTATTTATTTTTTAAGTTTTATCCACAGTTGCATCAAAGGATTAGCGTTTTTACATGAATTGTAAAGAATAATAAATTGATTTTATCACCTGTGGAATGCAATAATTGTGGCAGAGCACATTATAACACGTCAAATCCATGGTGTACTTAGATTTAAAAAGTCATCTACCTTCACATCGTGCTCCTTGCTTCTTCTGATTTACGTTTTGGCATTTTTTTCCCATTTATGTTTGTATATTCTCATTTGCTGCAATCTTAGAAGAAGTAAGGTTACGTTTGATTAAATTTATAATACTACTGTAGTGATATGTAACAAATATACCTAATTAATTGTTAGGAAAGGAGCTTAGATTAGTATGCTGTAAAGAGCATTCTTGCTTTCCATGATTACAATTTTGTTCACTGGGGATGGGCACTTTATGTTAGTGAAATGAATAATTGATCATTTATAATAAAAATAAAATTCTTAGTATGCGTTTAGTTTTCCCCACATCTTTAAATTTCCACTTTTTTCTTAACGAACAATCAAGGAAAATTCTGCACTTACAGCATTATCTATTTAATTTTATGTTTTCATTTTATTTTGTAACCTTTTTATTTGAGAGATGATGCTAAAATGCGAACCAAAATTTATTCGTTACTTCACAGAAGCTGGGGACGTCACGTCAAAATGTTCAGATTGCAAAAAAATTTTGAAATTTTGGTTATTCAAGGTTTGCAGAATATTAAGTTTATTTATTCAACGCTTTGAAAAACTTTGGAAAATGTGGTTTTGCATTTTTTCAGTAATAAACTCTTAGTTTTAAAGAATAAGTTGCAGCTATGTTTTGCAAAGTTATTAGTTTTAATAATTGGCGTTATTAACATACGATCTATCTACCCAGACTAAAAAAATGTCAATTCAGAAAAATATTAGATTTATGAAAAATGCGCCCTGAGATGTAATGAGTACTTTCATCATAATAATATTCTTTTGTATCTTTTAGAATTGCATGCACATCACGTTAAAGATATTAATGCATTAGTCAATTTCTTTTAGCATGTACTTAAAAACAACTCGTAGAATTTCCTTAAAAAATTAGAAAAGATGATTGCGTTCTAATGAATGTTACGTTACTCAAGTTAAAATAAATACAAACATAACTTAGAACAGCTAGTGACAGTTTTTCTCATATTTAAAAATAAATGTCTGTGCACGGGACTAAATTTATGTCTAAATATATCATGTCTTGTACGATAATTATAAATAACTTAAAACGCTTTTGTACTTAAGATTATACATATAAAATGCGCCCAGAGGGTAAGCAGGCGAAGTAAGATACCTATTAATTTTTACAAGAACTATCTAATATAGAAAATGAAGATCAATGTATACTAATGATAAAACAGGACAGACTTCCTCATTCCGGCATACTTGTCGACGGTGGATTGTTAACACTCTCCAGTTTTGCAGTAGTGAACATAAGAACTTGAAAAAAAATCAGACTTCAAAAACACAACCAAATAAGTACTGTGGTCACGTCATCTCAAACAATATTTGTGAGATTTATTGTACAGCAGAAGCAAGGTAAGATCACTGTAAATAACAAGTTTAACATATTTTGATTTTTTCTTAAAGTATTAAAAACATTATTTTTGGTCACATTCCAGCTAATGTGGCGCAAATGTGCCATATATGTGTGTCCAATTTGACCAGAAACACTGCAATCATATCACATTAGTATAATTTTGGGGTCACCAATAAAAACCGACATCATTAGGACCCCGTCCCTGTCGAAGGAATTTGAAAATTTTAGTGAACCTTCTAATCAATGAAAAATCATGATCGGTTTTCTAAAAAATAACCAAAATTTACTGATCACTTAAAATTCTACTTGGTTCGCTCACTTTTTCACTTTTTAATATTTTCTGTAAGTTCAAGTAATTAACATGTACTGTTTGTTTTATTAAAATTGTAATAAATAAAACAAATTTAACACCTCTTAAGCTTCTATCAAAATGAATCTGAACTGCAATATATCAAAATATACCTGGCACATTTAAATAACCCGCCTTTCAGTAATTTAAATTTCGGCCAATCAACATTTTAGAAATTGAAAGTGCGCCAATGACAATTTAACAGCGCCAGTGCCGCCAGTGGTTCCAAAAGTCGCCATCCAACCGATCGTACAAAACGTGAAACGAAGAATCACAGACGGCATAACGAACATATTTCCGAAAGAAGAGAGTTTACATAAAAATGAAGTACATTCTGATTACCGGTGGTGTAATTAGTGGTGTTGGAAAAGGCGTAATTTCGAGTTCTTTTGGTGCCATTCTGAAGTGCTGCGGAATTGAAGTCACATCCATTAAAATTGACCCATACATCAATATAGACGCTGGGACGTTTTCTCCATACGAGCACGGTAATATTGTTTGTATCGCGCCACAAATCGTGGAAAATTACGTGTGGTTTATTTTAAGTTTCGTTTTATCAAGCAAATAAGAACATGTATCAAAGCCACATGGTCTCGTTGCATTGTTGCCAACTGTAAGCATTGGAAAAATCTAAATAGCCGCCAACGAGATTCTATTCAATTATTGCTGCTGATCTAATAATTTTGAATTCATGTTGATATTAATGCATATAATTGTATTTTTTTAGCATTATAATCGATGTAATAACATTTTAATTTAGTCGCAGATTCTGTTAAAATTGCTAGATAGTTGCACGTTAATCATTTTTATAATCCGCATTGTCAGCAGCATTTTATTTTTTATTGCAGTATTAGCAGGTAAAGTTTCACTAAAGATATTGTGCGTTTACGTCTATGAATTCGTAAGCATTTTATTACAGATACAATTAAATAAATGCAAGCAGTGCACGTTACGAGATAGATAGACCACGTACCATATTGAATAAATGTTTATTTGTTATTTAAAATAGGAAAAGGTCTGGCCAGATAGACCGATTTATTTGCAGCCCACTTTAACAAAGTCGAAAAAATTGCCCCAAATCGAGTAGCTATTAAGCTATATTTTCGCGCATACTGGATTCTTCTTCTTTCTTAATTTATGGGGGCTGACCGTAGCCAGCCGGCACTTAGGCCTCGCCTTTGGGCCCATTGTACCTTTTCGCGCATACTTCAAGCATTTTGCTTGCGATAACCATCGAATGTTATCCACAAGTACTTCCAATTTGAAGTGCTTGTAAAAAGATTGGTTGCAGAGGATGTTATTAATCTCAATATAGGACATTTTAAATTTAACAAAAAAATTTGAATAAAATTCTAAGCTTCTATTTAATATAACTTAAAAACTACGGTCTTCTTATACAAGGTTTTGGTAATAATTTTGTAACATATTGTTCTGACATAAATGCTGTTCTCGATTAGTATTTTGTTAACCTAAATTATAAAATAACTAATAACTGGGACGTGAAAGCACCTCTCAAACATTAGATGCATGCCTGTATTGACCTACTATACGTCCAGTATTTTGCGTTTTATTGCGTAACATGGTGATAAGAAAATATGTATTACATTTTTTTAAGATGGAACTCTAGTTTTTTAGAAAACATTTCCCTTACTACATAAAACATTTAAAAATAAGTATATACATACTAAAGCAAGATGACTTTGACCCCTCTGCCTCCGAGGGGTTATACAACACTACTTCTAAACCTGCTATTATCGTACGAAAGGTAAATTTTAGCCTCAGCACATCGATGATTAACTTATTAGTAGTGCTGTCAGATCCGCTTTGTCGACTGAACTAAAGCTTTATAACAAAAAAAACTGTTCTCTTAATGCTAAACGGGTATAAGACCTGTATTGAGTATATACAATATTTTAATGCAACTATTAGAAGGATAATGATACATATACTTTCTTGTTGTAACAAGAAAGGCCAAAGTTAAATTGCTTTAAAACTTGATCAGCCAAAAAATTGTGTTGTGACATTTCCTTCCTTAATTATGTATAGCGGTTTTTGCACAATATACTTACGTTATGATCTAAGCATAAAAGTAACTTATTTGAAGGTCAGTTTTATTCTTTTATTTTTGTGACAATGTTAATCATTTACTTAATTCTGATAGTAATGACAATTTTATTGGCTTTCATCATATTCGTTTTTCACTTTTCATTGAAAATTTAGACACATAGCTTAAAGATGGCTTGCTGTTCGCAAATAATGTTCAAACTTTTATCCAACTACTACTCGTCTATATGGTTTGACAGACGATAAATACATTTGCAGCTTCCGACTTTCGAAATTGTGTCATTATGTCACATAATACATCGTGAGCGAAGTTTGGGCAGTCTCTGACAAGTAACGTTCTATCTTTATGTATCTGTCTATGTAATCTCACTTGCAACGCATTGGATGTAGTCCGATACATAATGCCTACTGAACGAATCACGTGGTTAGTATATCCAGTAAGATTTAATTCCAATTATCATTTTTTGTTACGGTGATTTAGATTTATATAATACAATAATACACGTTCATCGAAAGTACTGCCAATTAATTTAAAACTTCAAGTACCCATCAATGTATGATATAAGATCAATATGAAAAGGGTCAAGTGCGGACGAAACTTATCAGTATCTTGGTTCAGTAAATTAACCTAATAATAAAGAGTTTAGATAGTACTTTAAGTCCTCAACAACGTGGTCCGATTCATGTCTCAGAGTTTTTTCTTATACAGATTTCTTTGTTACGAAATTTTTATAAAAAAGGATGTATTAAATAAGGTTTTCATCAAATTAATTCATTACCTTTTTTTAAATATCGTGTGTGATTAATTCTCTAAATTCTAAAAAATAAATAGAACACAAATAATGCGATGACGTCATTAACTATCTAGAGAAAATCAATAAATAGATTTTAATTATTGTTATGTAATCATTAAATTAGTTGTGGTACATTAAAAAAAATCAGAGAAATTCACCTGTAAATTTTAAAACAAATTTAAATTTAAAATTTTCTTTCACTTTTTTATGATAACCGGTATAACCGTATGATGAAAAATATACGTACTTAGATACATTATTAATATTAAATGACAAATAAAAGGAACGTCACATATACATACATGTCAAGCATTTTAGGATTAGGTCAAGTGTTTGGAAGGTACAAACAGTTGAATTCTTACAGTGTTTTATCATCTTGATCATAATTTTAAAGCGTATCAGAATTTCAGATCAGTCGGTTGTGTAATTTCTAAGTTAAATTATAAAATTTTATTATCCATTTTTTTTTTTTTTTTTTTTTTAAATAAATCACGTTATTTTGCACATTCTGAGTACGATCTACTTGGGAAAATTTTAAGATGACGTCTCCAATTTTTGGTGGCGATAATTTTGGAGATTGGATGTCTAATACTCGAAAAATAGACGAAAACGGGAAACCTACTTCTTCATACCTATTCTAGGAACTACGAAATATCGAGAAATTATCCATTGGCCCTATTACGGTATTTCCCTAGCGAACGCTCTGGAAGTAAAAATTGACTTCATCACAAAATTTTATTGACCAAATGTCGTTTGAAAAATCTGCGAGCGACATGTTCCCTTTGCCTGTGTTTTCTAAACATTTCATATTATGTTTGTTTGAAATTTTGGCACTAACAGAACATTGATAAAAATGAATTTATTTATTTGCTCATGTGAACTAGTGTATGAGGCTTCTGAAAAAATTGTTGAATGCATGTTCATTGAAAAATGCCTTGAGATATGGTTTCTCGTGCTGTAGTAATGTGCTTTTATTTTTTTAGAATTGGAGAACCCTCCGAAGAAACGTAAGTTATAAAGTAGTAATTATAGAATTCTTTTCTAACAAAATATACCTTGGCATTTACTTCGCTAAAATTGTAATCTACTATTGAAGTACGAGTATATGTATAGTTTGATACATTTTTGCGAAGAAATATATGAACCAATATATTTTTACGACTGTCTGACAAACGATTTATCTTTTATCTGACCTGACCTGACCTGACCTGGAATTGCATATTAAAATTAATATGTTTAGCTCCACCAAAAGTTTATGACGTCATCTTACAATATTAATTACACAGTTGTTAAACAATGTCTTAGGATCAGTAATAGGTATGCTTACCTTTTTCATAATTGCTTCCCCAAGACGTGAAAAATTAATATATGCTGACCGGTAAAAAAAAAACAGTCACCATGAAATATTGCACTGCTTCTCTTACTTTCTTAAATTAAATTTAATTTTGCATTAATTTACCACTTTTTAGCTAATTTGTATATCGTGTGTCAACATTGAACGTTATGTTCTTTAATAAAATAACAATCACTAGTTAAATTAATAATTTTTAAAATGGTTTTGCAAAATATTTCATGGTGGCCGGTTTATTTTTGCCGGTCAGTGTATAAACCGATGTTTTGATCAACTACCCCGGAAATGGCTGATCTAATTGTCTTGAAATTCTAAAGAACAACTTTTTTTTGTTATTACTCTTTACAAAAATTTTCGTTGTTGGGACTGTTGCTAGTAATGGTAATAATAGTAATAACACCATGTGTGAGCGTAAAAATGTGACGTTGCTCTACTTACACATTTGCAAGTTCCAAACGAGTAAAAAGTATTGTATAAAAATCAAAGTGGCACCACTGTTTTTTTTTGCAGCATTTTCTTTCGTAATAAGCTCCAATTGGAGTTTATTATTATTATTAAAATTTAGTATTGATTACCATTAATATGATGGAACATTTTGTATAATAAAAAATAATACACATTTGAACCAACTCTAATAATATAGAGAAAAAGAAAATTATATCACAGATTTTTTGAGAAATCCTATTTTTATTAATCTTGCAATAATAAAAATCTGGCATGTAACATTGGAAGTTGAAATACTGAGCTGTATTTAAAAGTGTTTAGTATTTATTTATTATCTTTTTCTAGTGCTGTCAGGCGTCCACATTTTATCCTGAAAAGCTATTTAAATAATGCTTAAAGCAGGTATTTTAAAGATTTCAGAAAACAATTTTTGCACATCAGACTAGCCCTGCTTTTGTTAATAGCCTATTGTGTACATCGTTCGCAATATTTGTAGCCATCATAAAATACTCATTAGTCATTACTACCGCAAAATGAACCGTGTTTGTCTTAACTACCATTTTATGATTTTGTGACAACACTTTAAGTCGAGTACGACACTCGAGGTTGCTTGCAAGATAAGCGACTAAAATATTCTTGTAAGTACTAAATGCGTACGATGCCTAGCTAACTGAGAAGTAAATACATTTAAAAAGCCAATTTCGTAAGGAAAAATGTTCGATTTGCTGCATGCAAATAGCTGTTCGTTTTGTAGCTCTTTGTTTTTACTTCCGGAGGGTAAACTAGAGAAGTATTGTAATAGAGCCCATTTGAAGAATGGCCAATTTCACGTTTCCGTCTGTCTGTCTTACAGACAAGTAAAATCTGAAGCTACCGGACGGATTGTTATAAAATTTTAAACGTATTTTAAAGACTTCGTGTACGCCAACCAAAATTTGTCTATTCATATCCATCAAACATGTGGTGGCGTCAACCCAAAATTTAATTCTATCTAAAATGTACAAAGTAATATGCTTCTATATTAGTCCATCCTGTTTTCTAACATTGCACATGTAGATTTATGGAAAAAATCAAAATTGCAAAACAAAATTTTGTACACGCTGAAGGTCACTGTGGAGATGGCTAATGCTTGGTCAGAATTTATCAGTTCATCCCTTCCAAAAACTTTATCAATCCTCAAAATTTTGCATATCAATCTTATTTTTAAGAACTGTGTACACTACGTCTTATGTAACGAGAATCTCACTTGAAATGTATACATATTTTGGCATGTTCCTTTACCTACAGTTTAGTAGAATGTCTATGTATATCCATGTTTTTATTAGGGGTTATCACAGCTAAAATTAAATTTGCAGAATAAAATTTTATGGTTTGTCTAAACAACATTTGAGATATCGTATTAACTTAATTATTGGATACTGGTTCTAGAAATCCCATAAAAATTTAAGTTATCTTCGCTCTGTGTTATATACGTACGAGTAAGTAATAAGTGTTTTTTTGTTTATTGCAGGTGAAGTGTATGTTTTGGACGATGGTGGTGAGGTCGATCTTGATCTCGGGAACTACGAACGGTTCTTAAATATCACATTACATCGTGATAATAACATTACAACGGGTAAAATTTATCAGGCCGTCATAGAAAAAGAAAGACATGGTGACTACTTGGGAAAAACTGTTCAAGGTAAAACAAAAACACTAATAATAAGTACGTATTACTTAAGTTCATTTATTTTCTGGTAGTCGTGCCGCACATTACGGATGCCATTCAAGAATGGGTAGTACGAGTAGCGAAAATTCCCGTTTCGGAATCTGGAAAAATACCGGAAGTGTGCATAATAGAATTGGGAGGGACTATAGGAGACATAGAAAGTATGGCATTTGTTGAAGCTTTTAGACAATTTCAGTTTCGCGTAAAACGCGAAAACTTTTGTGTGGCACACGTTTCTTTAGTACCACAGGTAAATCATCTGCCATTTAATTGGGGTCAAGTAGTTAATGTGCATTAACTTTCAGCCACGTACTACCGGTGAACATAAAACTAAACCTACGCAATCATCTGTTAGAGAACTTCGAGGTTTAGGACTATCGGCGGACATAATCGTTTGCAGATCCGAAAAACCAATAGGTCAAGATGTAAAAGACAAAATTTCAAATTTTTGTCATGTTGAACCAGAACAGATAATTAGCATTCCTGATTTGCGTTCAATTTATGAAGTTCCTGTGTTTATGGAATCGCATGGAATTGCTGAGTATTTATGCAAAAGATTAGATTTAGGCGTGAAACCCCTACCTCCAATGAGAAAATATATGAAACAATGGATCGAGCTCACAGAACGTATTGAGCATCTGAAGTATGAAGTAAATGTTGCGCTAGTAGGGAAGTATACGAGGTTGGAAGACTCTTATACTTCAATTACAAAAGCGTTGCAGCATGCTGCAAACAAAATTGGGTATAAGATGAACATCAAGTTCATTGAAGCTTCCAATTTAGAAAAAGCGATGTTGACCGAAGACCCAGCAGCTTACCACGATGCTTGGCATCAGCTTTGTAAATGCGAGTGAGTATTTTTATATATTTTTGAAAAAAATATTGCGCTAAATTAATAAAATTTCCAACAGAAGAAACATTTTATAATTCAATATTGAGAAAACGAAAGGTGTAATTTTTCTGTGTATCACTTTAACTATATAATTTAAGCCAATTGTAGGTATGTTCTTCAAGTAAAAAATTATATGTTTGAATTTTTTTTCAGCTGTGTAGTTGTTCCTGGTGGTTTTGGTAAACGAGGTGTAGAAGGCAAGATTGAAGCTTGCAAATGGTGTAGAATGAACAATAAACCATTTTTGGGTATCTGCTTGGGCTTCCAAACTGCTGTGATTGAATTTGCTAGAAATGTTCTTAATTTAAACGATGCGAATTCGGCGGAATGTAAAGAAAATTTAGAGCACCCTGTAATAATAGACATGCCAGAACATAATACAGGGGATATGGGGGGAACAATGAGACTAGGAAAACGGACTACTGTTTTTAAACCCAATGTACAAAGCAGGATTAGTGAGTATTTGATTTTATTTTAACGACTGGTTAATTTAAACTACTTTTTCCTTAGAACGTCTTTACGGAAATAAAGAACAAATAGAAGAACGGCACCGGCACCGGTATGAGGTGAACCCAAAATACATTGAAGACCTTGAAAAAAATGGATTAAAATTTGTTGGAGTAGATATAGACGCAGAACGTATGGAAATCCTTGAATTGCCTTCTCATCCGTATTACGTAGCAGTTCAGTTCCACCCAGAGTATTTGTCAAGACCCATGGACCCCTCACCGCCGTTTATGGGTCTTATCTTGGCAGCAAAAGATAGGCTGAATTCTTATTTTGCCAGAGGTTGTAAATTATCTCCACGAGAACCTCAATCTGATTATTATGATTCCGGTAACAAATAATTGTGACATTCAGCTTTGATAATCTACATTTTCTTTTTAGATGACGATTTGGATCATCTAACGTTAAAACAAGCAACCCTCTATTCCACAGATGAAACAGACGGTAGCAGCACTTAAACAGTACATAGTACTACATTCCAGTTTCTGTCATTATTATAAAGTCGTTTGCAATATGTTAATACTAAGATTTCGAACATTTAAACTTGATTTTAAATAAGACTGAAAATTTCTGAATTCAATAACTGTGCCACTGCAATGTGTTTCAAAACACATATATCTTGATACAAAGCTTCAGCATAAATTGTTCTAGTTCTGCTTGTATTTTCGTTCGTATTTAAAATTATACATACACACGTCTTAGTTAAAATTAAGTCGTTTAAAACTTTATAGATTTATAAAATTTGTTCATTGCCGCAATTTTTTAGTTTATTTTTGTAAATTCAAAAATCTGAAAATATATATTTTTGCTTCATGTTTAATCATTGTACTTGCCTGTCACGAATTCAGAAGTAACATTTTTAAAGTACCTAACTGTAAAAGAGAGAATTACTATTGACTGCGTCGTTACTTGAATAGAAAAAGGCATTTATAGGCAAAGTATTTAATTTCGACACAATACTGGCCCATAAAAACCATTCCTTGTGGATGACGCTTCATGCATCAAATTATTAAGAATTTTTACATGTTTAATGAAACTGCCACCACCAGAAAATCCGTAAAATATAGGGCTTACGCACGACCGACTTCAGACTCGCTCTTGCGTTCCCTAAAAGACGCCAAAGTAAAGCTATAATCATTATAACAGCACCCAAAGAATTATACATGTGTACTTGTTAACAATACAAAAATCTTTATATATACAGGGTTGACTTTTCTGGAAAATCTGGTAGTGAGGGAATTAAGAACTTTTGAAAATATCAGGAAAAAGTCAGGGAAGTCTGTAACGAGTCTGGGAAATTTGTTGATTTTTGTTGAAAGTCCGGGAATTTATCTATTTTTGTTACTAACTAGTTTGAATAAAGGATTATTTTTCATTTTCTATGTCGGTATTATTTCAAGTTTTCAACTGGCATATGTATCAAAATTAAATCATAAAATATTGTGGTTTTGGCCAGGAGAAACCTGGAAAAGTCAGGGAATTCTAAATAAGAAACTCGGTGGCAACCTGTACATATATAATCTTCATTTATACTATAGCAAGCTAACTTCCGCCCTTCTATTGCTTTTGAAAATATATAAATCCAGTATTAGAATAACAAATAATCGAGTCGTACATCGTATATTTGAACATACTTTGCACGCAAAAATATTTGATTGCATATTCGCCCAAAATTTTTGTGGTTTTATGAAGCAGGGAAATGGTCGTTCAGCAAAATTTTTCAAACGAACTGACGGGTTGTAGTAATACTGATTGCATATGTTAGAACGAAAAGTTTCTAGAGATGTAAGGGACCACCTTAACGGGAGGGGAACGCCATTAATGGCACATCTGACCTCGCATAAATACTGCACTGCAAAGAGCAAACAAAACTATGAAAACAAATTATGCTGCTCTAATAATAAAAAAAGTCCTCTTGTCCACCTTAATAAAATATAAAACCTTTAAAAATATCCATCTTGCATCGTTCTGCACGCACTAACTACTAAAGTATATGTATAGTGACTTTTATGGGAATTTTAAAATGAAATTCAATTTACTATAAAAATTTTATACCTTGCACACATGACAAACTGTCAAATTAAAGGTTAGCCATTATAAAATAGTTTCCAATAACTAAATGATTTTTTTTTGTTTCCAAACATAAACTTGTACATCTACATAAATTTTATTGTTTTTTTGGCGGCGGCCTAAATGTCCCAACCACTACAGCGTGATCCCTCTCATATGGCTCTAACGTAATTTGTTCTTGCGGTTTAAGTTGGTCAGCTTGCAGCCTTTTCACTTCAGCGGCAAAAACCGCCTCTGGTTGTGCTGTGGAATCAATACATGATGCTTTAATAGATATCACGAAGTGACCACTGTTCTTCAAGAAATGTTGAGCATTTAGTGCCACAATTCTCGCCTGATCAGGTTGTGCCACATCTGCAAATATAGTGTCAACCATTCCCACCAGCATTCTATATTTATGTGGATGTCTAGCATCTTCTATTATTGGAATGATATTGGTCCTCTTCTTCGCCACATTTATTAAATCTCGACCTGATCTATGAGAAAATTCTACTGCATATACTAATCCTTCGGGACCAACAATATCTGACACGTGGGACACAGTGGTTCCAGAAGCGGCGCCAAGATATAACACTTTACTGCCTGGAGGCATGTGAATTTGATCCACTCCACCAAGAATTGCAGCAGCCAGTTTACTGCGGAATGGATTCCACACTCTGTACTCCACTTTGTTTCCGTCATTCTGAAAAGAATATTTTGATATTCTGAATTAATTTTAAAAAATATGGTGTACTATTGTTTAAGAAACATCCCGACATAATTTTCGTGAAATTTTGTTTGGATATTTCTATGTACCTTCCAAACAATACCAAGTATTCAGATACTGTATATATCTTACTTGAAATATGCAGTATGGCATGCCCCTTTGCTTAGAATTTTATTAACTAAAGTACAATGTATCCAAAATATTACAGCCAAATTTGATAAAAATTGGTTTAACAATTTTGATGGTGTATTATAACATGCAACAAAATATCTCTCCAAATTTCAGCGAAAATCATGTTTGAATGTCAAATCACACTTGTTCTAAAAAAAATGTAAATTTTACCTCTACTGAAATTCTTTTTTCTCCGTATACTTCGGAACCAGGAACGAGATTTAATGTCACCAAAGCATCTTCTTTGCCTCTTGCGACAAAAACTCCTTCATGACGATGCGGTTCAATTACAACGGTTTTCCCGCCTTTAAATCCACCCTTGCCGCCTCCACGGCCTCCCCCACGGCCGCCGCCTCCTCGTCCACCACGACCTCCTCCGCCACCTCCTCTTCCAAAACTAGGGCGACCCCCGCCGCCGCCTCCTCTTCCGAAACTTGAACGTCCTCCGCCACCGCCGCCGCCTCTACCCCCTCCACCGCCAAAACCCCCACGACCACCTCCTCCACGTCCACCAAAACCACCGCCGCCGCCGCCGCCGCGACCACCCGGCGAAAATCCTACAAAAATTAATTATGAAAATAAAACAGAGACGTAATATAAGATTGCAGTACCTGGCTTTCCCATGATTATTTCTTTTTAAAAATGGTATTTAGTATCTGTGGTTATGTTTACACGTGTTTTAGAACCGCAATGTTACAAATTACAAATACACGCGGTTTGTAAAATTAACCTCACTTTAAAAAAATGGTTGGTTGACGACGGCTAGGTAGATAGAGATGTGTCGTTCGCGAACGAACGAATCAAATTGAACGGGTCGTTCGAATGAACGAGTGACCGAAATCGTTCCCAACGCAAACTAGTCGTTCTTTCGTTCACTCGTTCACTCGTTCACCGTTCACATTGTCTCGACTGGATCTTGGTTCCGTTCGATCTTTGAATCATGGCTCCAGCACAGTTCTATGTTCTGTATCCAATACTAGGAGCACATGCTATGCTATTTATGGAATTAAGTAAGAACGTAAGTTTTCCAGACAGATTAATTCCAGTAGTATGAATTTAAATTAGGAACCGGGAACAAAAATGACAATTTATGACGATAACTAATATACAATGTTCATAAACGTCTGAACATTAGAAACTAAAAAAATAAATGTAAATTAAGAATTATTATTACTATTATAATGATTATTAATAAAAAAAAAATCCGTGTTATTTTTTTAGAATACAGGATTGTGTGACGTCAAATTAAATCGTTTGAATATGCTACGACCTGATTAATTAAGAATATTTAACATTTAACGTTCATTTGTTTTTATCTATGACATTCAACTTTTTTTTAATACACCGTATACATTGTTTAGAGATTCTTCTAGTTTTTTTTTTTAATTCTTTGATTTAGCATATGCCATATTTTACTCAAAAGTTGCTTGGAAGCTGTGATAAAAACAAATTTAATTTTTGTGTCAAAAGTGCTATTGATGTATTTATTAACACAATTATTTGCGTCCACAAATTCAAGTTACTTTTTTTAAATATTAAATTATTATTTATACATCACAGAATTCAGAAAAAAATCGTTACATGAATGTCTAAAAAAATGGGAGGCATTAAAAAAAATTAAATGTAGACAAAACCAAATAAACGTTAAATCATTAATTTTTCGAATCAGATCATGGTATATTTCAAACGATTTAATTTGACGTATCACACAATGCAGTATTCGAAAAAAAAAGACAGCTCAATGGGCCGGGGTTTTTTTTTTCGAATACCTATGCGATAGTTCTGAGCATGACCTTCCCTATAAAGTGATCGGATTCAAGCAAAAGGGAAACTAAGACCATTGACCGAAGAGCCGAAAGACCGAATGATTCATCAATAGATCCCTGAGCCTTCAATGATTAAGAACGAAGTGAACGGTGAACGAAGTGAACGAAATGAACGAAATGAACGAAATGAACGAAATGAACGACATTTGACGACCGGGTCTTCGTAAGGACCGAACGATGAACGATCCGTTCGTAGTGATGACCGAATCTGCCCATCCCTAGGTAGAATTCTACAAATAGTTTAGGAAACAACCACCGATGGCGTGCGATGGCTTTTAAAATTAAAGTCCCTAGATAACCATCTAGTGACTTTATTTAAAATTCTAGTTACGAGGGGGTAGTCTGTGCTAGTGACTTTATTTCTGCTTTATTTAAAATTCGGCGGTGTTGCATTCTGTTCTGTTGATATCCACCACACATATCCACCCTAGAATACCCCCCTGATATCCACGTTATGAGGGTGGAACACGTGGAATGAATAATCGCTGATACTAAACATTTTCAAATTTAAAAGAAGCCATCATGGCTAGACCAGGTATTGCAATTTTATGCTATGTCTGTATTTATTTTCTAATTAATTTTTATAGGATTTTCGCAAAGTGGTCGTCGCGGAGGCCGCGGTGGTGGTGGCTTTGGACGTGGTGGTGCTGGTGGAGGCCGCCCAAGTTTTGGAAGAGGTGGCGGCGGCGGCCGTCCTAGCTTTGGAAGAGGAGGCGGCGGAGGAGGCCGTGGTGGAAGAGAAGGCGGCCGCGGGGGAGGCCAGGCTGGATTCAAAGGAGGAAAAACCGTTGTAATTGAACCGCATCGTCATGAAGGAGTTTTTATTGCAAGAGGCAAAGAAGATGCTTTGGTGACTTTAAATCTCGTTCCTGGCTCTGAAGTATACGGAGAAAAAAGAATTTCAGTAGAAGTAAAATTTACATTCTTTATACTCTGTTCAAACGAAAGAGTCGGTGATCACGTGAAACCTGTATGATGCATTCTGGAAACCGAGTGCGCGTAAGATTACTGCGCGTAGCACGTGTTACACTGTAGAGAAATTTTAAGTTCTGATTTTGACAAAATAATGTTTCCAACATTCGACTTGATGGCGGTCACATGTATAAAAACAAACAAAAACACAAACTACGAAAGCAAGGAGACGATACAACGCAAGGGATGAGTCAACAATAAAACGCACTGGCAGTGAAATATCAGTACAGTGTAAAATTGACTTGGGAAAAACCCTCCACCGAATTTGTCGACCAATAGGCAGTTGAACACGCGCTGATCACGCGTCTTTATTGCTGACTCTTTCACTTGAATATACTATAGAACAAGTGTAATTTAGCACCCGAGCATGACTTTCACTAAAATTTTGAGATATATTTTGTTGCGTGTTGAATAGCACACTATTAGGAAATGTAAAATGCGTCATAGGCAGGGTTTGTAAGTAGTTAATGAGGTGTTATTATACCGTAATATTACACGTAGTTTTTAACTATTTTTTACGTCATTAATTAACAATTACATATCTACATAATTAATTACACCAATTTTTACGTTGAGTAAATTTATTCTTTTTTATGAAATAAGTGCTAGACCAGCAGACCAGCACTGCTGAATGCTGATAGCATACTCTTTAGTCTTTACTCAGTGATCACATTATTACAGAACAGAACTTATTTCCAAAATGAAAGGGGCCAAAAGTACCTATGTACCTACCAATAATATTTTCATAATTTATTGAAGAAAACAAACAATATCGCAAATACAAAAATAAATAAACATCGTCTTCTATTCTTTTCATATCACAAAATTAAACAGCCTTCTTAAAAGAACAAAAACTACAAAAAATATGTAGCTTCATTTTACCACCGCTTATCAGCTCCTCCGCTTCACTTTGGTTGTTTCTTCTACATATATTTCTTCAAACAAAATACATTATTATTATTCTAATTAAATCGTGAATGGTATAAAACAGACCTATGAGCAAGGAGCCTTTGTTTCGACGTATTTTTCAAAATTTTATTACAAATATTACAAACAGCAGCAACTTTACTGTTAATTTTTATTGTAGTAAATTCCCCTACTGACCAAAAGTTGTGGTATTTTCTACGCGGCATCTTTCTTATTCTCACCACACAACTCACAAACCGTTTCCAAAACTTAAGTTTGCTGACTTTACAGTTGGAGGTTAGAAGATTTGACATTTGTATCTTGATATACGTATAAGTAAAAACTACATATTAACGACATAAAAAACTACACGTAACGTAATAAAATTAATGTAGTTAATGTTTTTTACATGTAGTTTTACAAACCCTGGTCATAGGTACTGAAAAAAAAACTCTGAAAACTACGAAGCCGATTTTGAGAAAATTTTGAGATTGTATAAGTACTACAGATAAACTCTAATGTTTTGAGTCAAAAGAGTAAAGATTCAGCGTTAGTCAGTAATGTCAGAAAAGGCATTATTAACCATAAATTTTTATCCTTATATGTATGTTTTGAATGCAACTGCTTAGTTTTCACAAGGAGTGAAATTCTAGAAAATAATAGTAAGCTAGCAATAGCATGATGATTGTTGGTAATTCATTTATAGAAAATACTCATGGCAAAAAACATAACATTTAATTGATTGTAATTTTCACCTGCACGCTGTACCGCCAAGTTTCTTGTCGCTTAAAAAATTGTAGAAATATTTATATTCATTCTTAAACTAATAACTTACAACTTCACAGTCTTGAGGCTCATAAAATGTTAGGCTTTAGTGTATCAGCTGTAATATATGGAAAAATATTGAAAGCCACTCAGAAGCGCAGTAATAAAAACAAAAGACAGCTGCTAAGGTATGAGCGCAGATATGGGATGACGTCATTAATTTTTTGGAGAGGTTGTTTAAAGCCCCAGTATTAGAAGTAATTTCAGCACGAAAGGGTACAGGGGCGGGGCTTAAGTTGCGCGACTTGTAGCCGGGCCATCAGTGGCGTAACATCGATGCATTGAGAAGGGAGGCTCGGCTGAGTTGTACTTCTTTCAAAAACAATTAAAAAAAGGGCAATTTCTACAAAAGAATACAGACAACCATTTAATAAAAATAAATTAATTTGTTAAAAAAATAGACTTACGTAACAATAAATTATGATAATCTATCACACAAAATTTGGTATTTTTAATTATTAAACGAGTTAGCATGAGTAAAAAATTTCACGAACCCCTCATTATAAACCAGTATCATATACTATTTTATAGTCGACTAGTCTTAAATCAACAGTTAAATCTTTAGATAAAAGCGGGCTTAAAACTCTGAGAATAAGCAACCTATGACTATAATTATATGTTTTTTTATTTTCTGGCACAATTTATAGATACCGTAAAGTCTGATTATAATAAGGCTTAACGTTTTCTGTCTTTAACATCGAAGTAATAAGCACAGTTCATATTCTAGCATAATTGTCGTTTATAACTAGAGCTTCGACTGTACCCTAATTTAACAGTTATTATTGCTCACTAAAAATTACCTTTTTACTTCTTTTACTTACTTTTTTATTCAACTCATACATCAAATACAGCACTAATAATTGTTTAAATTCTTTTTCTATAATGTCAACGCTAATAAAATAGAAAAGTGATATTTTTATTAACCGCAATAATATTTTAATATTTAAAATCGAAATATTCATCGCCGCTGCCACTGCTTGCACGATATTTGTAAGGCCAAACCAAAACAATATTCTGCGCACTCCCACCACCTGTACCCTTTCGTCTTGAAAGCTGCTCTAGTTAATTAAGCTGATAAACTCACAAGCACATTTCAAGTAAAATATATTTAATAATATTTTTTGATGATGTAATTTACTACTTGGAAGGAGTGAATAAAACAAATTTTGGTCAACGTTTTATCTATTTTCACGATAATTTTAAAGTACATTTTGTCTGACCAGAACACACATATTATTGCGCGTTTTTATTTTACAAGTAGTCAAACAGCAGAAAACAAAATTAGAAATTCGCCATTGCAATGTTTCCATACTTGGTGTGGC